AGGAACTCACCAAAAGGTCAACACACTGCATGAAGAGCACACACATCACCAAAAATACAAATCATCTTCTAAATCTGGAAGATGGTCACTCAGTCTTTGCAATTTTCTGTAAATTTTATACCAGATGTTGTGCTACATAAATAGATTGGAAATCTCATGAGACCATAGCAGAAGCTTAAGGCATTTGCATTTCCAGGACTTCCTTGCATTTGGCCGATTAGTCACTCTTCTCAATCCCTGTAAATATTCATTTTCAAGGCTAGTATAGAACAGAGAAAAATATGGTAACAAGTTAATGAGGAAACAGTACTCATATAATACTACTTAATGCAGACCTTGGACAGACATTTTTCCAGCTAAAACATTTTCATGTTTAATGTCTACTTAGTTAGTTAATATGCCCATTTTCCCAATATTTCATTTTTTATTAGTTATAGGTTATGTTGTGAGGATATATTTTTCATAATGCATTTCAACACTGATTCAACTGTGTGAAACAGCAAGATGCAGCAATCTGTTTTTGTCTACTATCTCTTTTTGAAAACTGGATTAGGTATCTCTTTTCAGCAGTGCATTTTCCTGGTTACACTAAGCAGAAGAACAGTTCCTTCCCCAATGAAAACAGCACAGATGTTTCAGATGGGAAAGCAGTTTACTGACAGACTTATACAGTTAAATCTATTGAAATTAATTTCTCAATAGAAAGATAAGTAAGAAAAAAAGTCAGGCATCATTTAGTAGTTCCAGAGAGTACTATCACACCCTGAAATCTTGCTTCTAATATGCAACACACAAAAAGATTTGTGGGGACAAGCACTTCTTTTGATTGTCAGAGAAGTTTCTGTGTTTTTCTATTGATGCTCTTTAGCCAAGAGCAGTGTTCCAGGAACTCTAGAAATGCACAGCTCTTATGTTTTCTACTTAGAGGGTTTTAGCCTTCTAACCTAGAATGTTAATAGCAATTCTAATTCATCATTTCAAATATTATTCTTGGTCCTTGAATCTATCTTTCTTTCCTTGATACTGACTAGTGCAAGGAAAAATCTTGGATGATCTAAAAATAGTGGCCAGACCCCAAACACAGGCAAACCAATGTCTGCTTGGAGCAAGAGAACAACTCTCAGAAAGTCCAGAACTGAAAAGAGGAGGAAAAGAAAAGCAGGACACAGCATGGCACAACAGGGAAAGGCTTGAAAGAGATAGGAAGGGATACAGAAATCCTTCCATCTGCTGAGGTTAAAGGTTGACATATCTGTACAGAATTCTCTGAAAAAGAAGAGCTTTAAGGGATTTTCAGTGTTTTGGAATTACTGGATTCTCTGACATAGCAGCCCTTGTCTTGTTCTAGGTCCACCCCCAACCCCAGTCTTTAAATGCTATCTGACTATCCATTGAAGTTAGTTGGAAGATTCCATTTTGCTCTGATGAAATCCAAAAAAAGCCATTCCTATGCTCTCATATAATATATTTTTCTCTGCTGCTATTCCTTTATCTCTTTGTCTGCTTTGGGTTATGTTTATTTCTTCTTCTGTCTCCCTTTAGCTCTTTAGTTCTGATGGTGGCATTTTATGTTTTTAGAGTGATTGCCCAGAGTAAACATAAGAGCTGCTGTAAAAAAAACAAACTTCAAATTATAGACTAAAACTTCAGTCCAATTTGTCATTATCTGATCTATCAAATATGAAACAATTTAATTATAACAAAATATTAAATTTCTTTTGAAAGGATTGAGAAAATAATTGCTGTAGCTTTATGAATTTTTATGAATCATTTGTGCTGTGGTCATTGACCATAGACATACTTTTAGCCCCTTACAAATTCTAGAAAAGCATGTTAGCTTAATTGAATTTTAAGCTAGAACATTTTTCTTGGCAGGCTAAAAGTTAGCACATGGGCAATTACACTGCTCTGGTACCACACAGTAATTCATTCAGCCACAGCTCAACTGTTTTTTCAAGCACTTCAGTCTCCTGAAGAAAGTTGACTGAATAATACAAAGCACAAATTACTTGATAAATTTATATATTGTATTTCAAAATTCTGAAGATTTTTCAAAATATTTGCATGAAAAACTAGTTGTGTCTGGATAAAGAACAAGTTTGATATCCTAGACTGACAAACCTAATTAGAGTGATAAATTTAAATGATGCACATATAAGTAATTTGGGAGTTTATCTAGTTTAGTTACTCTCTGTGACAGAGTTAAGAGGGGGCAATTACTTCTGGAAAACATCAACTTCTTAATTCATGTTTTAATCATTTTGATTACGCTTAATAAATGCCTATAGCAGTTTCTAGCTACTGTGTTTCAAACAAAAATAATTCAGACATTCCATGTAGCACATAAAATTCTATATGAAAGCATGCTGTGTGAAGGCAACATACAGAAAATGGTATTTTTCTATAGTTGCAAAATGAGCTGGAATCACAGGGAGTCATGAGGGACAGAAAAGCTGTTGTTAGACTATCCATTGCAGTGCAGTCAAATCATCACGTCTCATATTCCTAGGGATGGAACAGGACAAAAATATTTGAAGCCTTCTGGGTTATGTTTGATGTTGCATGAGGCCTAAACAAATCACCAGGGACTAGCAATTCTGTGCTCAAGAACTCCTTTAAAATTAGTTTCTTATTCTCTTTCTTTCACTCTGGGTTTCTGCTGTGCCCAATTTTTTTTTTTTTTTTTTTTTGTCTAAATACACTGGTGAGGCATAGTACAAGTGATATTCATTCATAGATGTGCAAGATTGTGATGAAAAGGCTTGGGCTTGACTCTCATGTTGTTAGAGTGACAGAAGAGCTTCCTTCCACCTCTCTCTGGCTCACACATCTCTGAACATTAATATCAGAAAATCCATAAGCCCTTTGGAAAATATTTCCTATATTGCAACTCCCTATTTCTGTAAAAGAAGAACAGTACCTTCCTTGGATTGGAAGGAACCTTTAAAGGTCATCTAATCCAACCTCCCTGTAATAGGCAGGGACATCTTCGATGAGATCAACCTCTTCCAGTGTTTTACCACCCTCATGGTAAAAAAACCTTCAGTCTATCAATCTTGTGGGTTTGTAAGAACTACAGTAGTAATCTCTGTCAGGTGCTTTGGGAACCCTTTATGGAAAGTACAGACTAAATAAATTCAGCACATGGTCCATTATTATTCCCCTGATAATGTTTGGTAATATCCTGGGTAAGTACCACTAATTACAGGACTACTTTATGTGGCTGAATTCCAAAGCACTGTTATAATTTACTGCCATGTCTGTTTATAATCACAATTACGTCATTTCAGAGAAATAGTTATATTTCCTTCCTGTAACTACATTTCTGCAAGGTATTATAACCTAAATAGGACAACAGACTGGGCAATCAGCAGTAATATGATTTTATTTTAATGTAATAATAGCCAAGAATTAAGTAAAAGAAACAGACAGGAAAACAAAATAGAAGCAGAAAAGGACACATGCACAGACCCATCAGTTTGATGCCATGATAAAGTATGGAGGTGGCATTTGTACCATTAATCCATCTTTGACTTCAGTGTGACATCGTTGTGCCTAGGCTGAAGAATACTTCACTGTTTATTAGTTTAATGCTGCATTCATTTTAAAATGTTGTGTGCAACTCTGTTGAAATGAGGGTGTAATAAAAACATCTCCCACAGTAGGAAATACACAGCATTTAGGTTAAGGTATCATGATATAACACATATTAGTTGAATAAACTAGGAGAGAGATATGAGTATTGATCTGTTTCATGACCATATCCAGGCATTGAGTTTTCACCAGCTGTGGAAATATGATTTAGGAGAGCTTTGTCATATGGTTAGAAACCCTTCCAAGTGCTGTAAATTACTGTTTTATCTCTACAGCCTGGTTTCAAGTGTCCAGTTAATAAATATTCTCTAGCTTCCATTCTGGTTGAGACCTGCAACTTCCTTGTATCAACCACCTGTGCAAGATTATTTAGATTCTTAGAGCAAATTTGCAGAAAGGCTGTGCTAACTGGGTTGTATAAACACTTACACATCTGTCTTATCCTCTAAAGGATTATCTTGCATCTTATCTCTTTGTCTGCTATTGAAATGTTTCTTAAATAATCTGAAATTGAAGAGGGAAAGTGAATGGGAAAGTCAAATTGAAGTATTTCTGGGGTTGTTTTTATTTTTCTGTTTGTAACATTTGACAGCTGCAAGAAATTGCATGAGAGAAAAAAATCAAAGGCTTAAGTATCAAAATCTTTGCTTACAAGCTACTCTTATTTAGCAATCATGACAACTTGGAGCACATGATTCATAGCAACAAGTAATCAAGTATATAAAAACCCATACCTTGTACTTAGATATATTTGGGGTTTTTTTAGGAATAACTTAGAGTGATTAAGTAAATATTTTGTAGTGTGGTCATAAAAAGTTTTTATTGATAAACTGTTTAGCAATATAAAAATTTAGCTTCATTTCAGCACATCCATATTTTTTTCTTCTTGCTGTTTATTATTTATACTTATGAAAAGTGAACTTAGGATCATGAAGCTGAGATTCATTGAAAAAAGTGAAGTTCAATTTATGGTACAAAAATGACTCCATGTAAAAAGGATACATTTAATATATCCAACTGTAAAAGCACCAAAATAGAAACTAGACCCATGTAACTTAAATGATTAGTCACAAAGCTTGACATATGAGCTTTAAATATTAAACAATAAACTGAATACTTGAATGTATCCATTAAATTTGAGTAAATTTACACAATTAATAGCTTCATAACATCTAGAATTGGTAGCATACGATTTTGCAAAGAGAAAGGAGGCTGTATTCTCCCCATAATTTACACATAGTGAACAATTTTAGTCAGTTTTTAAATGGTGGAATCAATTTCATGAATGGTGAGACTTTCCACCAAGGTCACAGAGAAAAAATGCTTAGTTTTTCAATATACTTGGAATTTTCAAGTTGATCTTTTAATCAGACACATAACACAGGTTTTATGTGTTCTCATGACAGACCAGCAGTACTCATGGTCGCCTTCTCAGCACTTCAATGAAGAAAGATACTCTCCTGCTCCGAGGAATATGAAAGGATTATCTGGTAGTCGCAATCAACCACAGTTATGTTCAGCTCATACTTGTGGCTTAGCATCCCCTGAAGATTGTGAACATACCCACGACCTTATCCACCATGGGCAGGAGCCAAGGCCGTCGTATCTCCTCAGCCCCACGGAGAGCTGCCCGCTGGACCACCACCGTTGCTCCCCCCGCAGCTCCATTCATTCTGAGTGCATGATGATGCCCATGGTAATGGGCGATCACATGTCCAGTAGCACTTTCCCCAGAATGCACTACAGCTCACATTACGACTCCAGAGACGACTGCGCCATGTCTCACGGTAACCCTAAGATTAACCGTATTCCTGCAAATCTTTTGGACCAGTTTGAGAAACAGCTTCCTCTTCACCGGGATGGGTTTCATACTTTACAGTACCAGAGGACCTCAACAGCTGCGGAGCAGCGCAGCGAGAGCCCGGGCAGGATTCGCCATCTCGTTCATTCCGTCCAGAAACTTTTTACTAAATCTCATTCTCTGGAAGGATCATCCAAGGGAAATGTTAATGGAACAAAGGGAGACAGTCGAGGGGATGATCATCATCATGGGCACCATTCCAAGCATAGCAAAAGGAGTAAAAGTAAGGAGCGAAAACCAGAAGGCAAGCATAAATCTGGAATGAGTAGCTGGTGGAGCTCTGATGATAATTTGGACAGCGATAGCACTTACCGAACCCCTAGTGTGGTAAATAGGCACCATGCAGATCATATATCCCATTGCTATCCTGAGGCACTCCAGGGGCATTTTGGGGATCTCTCATTGAAGACTTCCAAAAGTAACAATGATGTGAAGTGTTCGGCTTGTGAAGGGCTACCAATGACCCCTGACAGTAAATACATGAAAAGGAGTTCTTGGTCCACGCTTACAGTAAGTCAGGCTAAAGAAGCTTATCGCAAATCATCACTGAACTTAGATAAGCCTCTGGTTCATCAGGAAATCAAACCTTCTTTGAGGCCGTGCCATTACCTTCAGGTAAGAGGAAGATTTTCTTGAGATTTTAATGAAAAGAGCATCACAGTATATGCCATAGTCATCATAAAAAATATACAAAGGTACCTCTCAAAGAATTTCTGTACGGCTCTCCTAATGCAGATATCAGATATTCCATTGAAGTGAGAAATCTCTGGCTTTTGTCTTTGTTTATAGACCACAGATTAAAAACTATAAAACAGGAGTGATAGAAATTTGTTTCAGGTCAGTAGATGTGTTTTCATCTTTGGAATTCATACTGAACACCTTGATGAAATATATATATATATATATCACACTAAAAAGGGAGCAGTACTCTCAGCAGTCTGGGAGCTAGAAAGAGTGTTTCAAATACATTCATGAATGGGTGATTTTAAAAACAGGCTGTGGGGAATCCAATTTTTGTGTTCTTTTATTCCTTTTCTCCATGTTTTTGTAAGTAACAGATGAATGGATTTACTGGTGTACCAAATTGCTTTGTTGTGGTGGTAATGACTCACATATTTCTTCTAATGATTGGATCACCCAGGATCATATAAAACTGAGTCTCTTTTGAAACCATACTATAACAACATCTGTGTTAAAAGATACATGGGTACCTCAGGGAGAGAGATATTTCAGGCCTGGGCCTCAGACTGGTTTTGATGGTGTTCTGCACATGTGCTCTCTTGCAGCAACAAAGAAGCTCCCACTTTCTCCTACATTTAAATTTTAATACCTCCTGCTTGATGCCCTTTGCCACTCCAAAGTCACGCTAATGTAACTATTTACCATGCTGCAAAATGATCTGGATCATAGAGTGACATGGGTTTAAAGAATACTTTCCAAAATACTATTTTTAGACATTTGAATAATTTACCTGACCTACATCCAGCACAGTCCCATCACAAGTGACATAAGCACATCAGATTATACAGAGAACTGTAGTGAGTGCAGAGCAGAAAGGAGAGAGTACCTCAGAGGATAACTTCTTCAGATGGCTTTATCACCAGAAAAAAATGTAGTATACAATTAATAATAAACAAATAAATAATAATTTATACTAAGTATAGCCTGCACAGCCCACATTGTTCTGAGTACGTTCTCTTCTATTTCTTCTTAAGGAACTCCTCTTTCTCCAGAACTTCACCAATTCTCATATTAACATGGGGAAATCTCTAGTCCAGATCTATGTATTATGAGATTTTCAGTTTCTCTGGGCCCTGCAGAAATGACTGTACTTCTGTGCAGAACTCTCTCCTCTCAGAGCTATAGGTATCCAATAGTGATGAGTCAAACTGGAAGAGCAAGATCTTTTCAAATGCATACGCAGACATCCAGGATCAATCCTCCCTACTGAAACAGGGAAAGTTTCTGATTGCAGAGAAAAGAAAATAAATTGCAGCCCTCAGAGCATTACCATGCAAATTGATTCCAATCTAGACTGACAGCTGTGGTATTTTATCATATCCAAGTACATTCTCATGTATGTAAAATAGACTGCACTTCCCTAGAAGTTTTTGATCTAACTCAACGAGCCAGAGCTGGAAGTGCGTCATGTGCAGAGCCTTCCATTCTGTCTGTGTTCTGAAACCATGTGTACAGCTGTGACACTACAGAGAAGTTTAGATAAGATTAGATTTTTCCTTCCCATTCCATACTGCTACCCTGAAATCTCAGGTTCCTCTATTACTCTTTTGGGTATAGTGCTTTCCTTCTGAATCATGTTTCATCGTTTCTTCTTCCCCATCTCTCCACTCCTACATCTCATTTGCCTTTGCAGAAGCTATCAATTTTTAATTTTCATTTGCCTTCTCCTTACTCCCAACTTTTATCAGCATCCTCAAGTGAATGTGAAAGACTGAGCTCACAAAGCAACTTGGTTATCACTAAGCTTTAGATCAAGCCCAGTGACAGGCCTAGGGGTTGGAAAAGCACACTTCTTTATAGCCATTTTTTATGCTTTTTGTGAATTAGGATAACTACAGAAAGGAATTTTCTTTCAGTAATTAGGAAGGCTTATCCAGCTTAAAATCTAGGAGATGAGATGTGAATTCAAATTTTTGCTGCACAGAGACTTTGTGATCTTTGTTTTTAAGACTCTTTAAAAATGGGACAGTATCCATTCCCTATTCACAGAGATCCTATAATGGAAATATGTTGCAATTCAAGTGCTCAGTTACTACCACAAGGAATTTATACTTGTGTCCAAAGCACTAATACAAGGAATTCTATAACAGAAATATTCTCATTATAAAATATTAAAATAAAACATAGGTTTCATCATATCAGAATATGCCATTTGGAGCATAGATATCCCTCAGACTGAGTGGCTGGCTTATTCACTGCCCAAGGTCAGCAAATAAATTGAGGGTATTCTATTCTGCCAATGAAATAACTAATTGCTTGGTTTTGAAACTTCTGCTTTGAGGGATGTTGGGCTGTCACAATGTAATCATTAAGATCAGAAATATGTCCCATTATTATCTCTGCCAGGAACTTTCTCTCTAACCCAGGAAATGTAATTTTTTAATCTCTGAACACTTCAATTGCTTTATCTGCAAAACTGAGGAGGGATATTTAACTTTTCTTATGGCAGTGTAAGCAACATCACTGAATAATGATTGGATAAAAATAATCAATAGGTTCAGAAACTGAGAAAAGTAGAGAAACGTGTCAGAATCCCTACCCAGGAGATTTTACTGCCTTGCTCAAAAGTAGATGGCAATGAGAATTCAAGGGATTATGAAGCTGATGTGCAGCAGCAGATTTCCCTGAGGTGCAAAAGTGAAGAGATTAGCATAAAACCCCAAGGCCTTTCACAGGGTCTCTGTTTTTAAAGTGGTATTAAATACATGTCCTGACTGATGTTAGCTATATATTTTTAACTCTTTTTAAAATAAAGCTGTGAAAACACAGTCCTTCAATGAATAAACAAATATGTAAGCATACCTCTGAATAACAAAAAGTTAATGTCTATATTTATATATTATTATCTTTTTTTAAATTTTTTTTCTACTACCTTTTCTTTACTTTTGTTCTACTACCTAGTTATATGAGGTTTCTCAGTAGCCACCTCACTTTTCTATCTATTGGTTTTCTTCCTATTATTTTTCAGTATCTGCATGAAATATTTCTACTTCTGTTTTCCACTGAGACTTTTGATATGCAGAATCTCAAACTGAAAAGTCATGGCAGTCTTAGACCTGTGCTGTAGACTTTGTTTACTGTCTTATGTTTCTGAGCTTCCACTTTGTCTTCTGTCATAATTACTAAGCTTCTTTTCCTTTAAACTGAAGGAAAAGACTAAACTACTCTGAAGAGTGAGTATAGGAATTTTCTTTCTAAGAAGGAAGCTACTAGCAAATTAACAAATGCCTGGGAAAAGGAGATAAGACAAGGGATTTTGAAGTTGTCTCCTCTTTATATGCTTCAGTCATGTCCTAGAGTTGAAAGCAAGTATTTCTTTAACCTGATAAATCTCCAAGCTTAATCTCTAGCTCCTCTTTTAGGGTTTTGCATTTCCTTCTCCACATAGAGTCCTTGCAGCTAAGGCATCTCCTTGGACTGGGAGTGTGGTGCTGGAAGTCAGAAGTGATTCAGTCAGCATGCCTTTTTCAAGCATGGGTGGTCATCTAGTCCTAAAGCGGATGGTTTGAGAGAATTAAATTATTTGAAATGAAGCTGTATAAAACAGTGATTATTTTTATCATTTAAAACCCAGATCAGATTTGCTTCACTCCTTCTACAGTGGAGGTGATGGGAACACACAGGAACAAGGGAGAGGGGAAGAATGAGAAACTCATATGGGAGGGCTGTAATGTCAATCAGTTGACCAATTATCACCTCAAGAGCAGAGGACTACCATTTGTAATTGTACACTAACAGCATTTAGCACACCATATCTTGTAAATGATTTGCTGCAGTTACTGTGTATGGGCCTTCAATTTCTATTTTGAATGCAGACAAATTGAGCATTTCAATGCATTTCTGGGCAACAAATACTTTGCAACCTCACTCAGCAGCAAAACAGCCCAAGTAAAACACACGTGCAATAATGCACACTTTTTTATAGTTTTAGCCATAGTAGCTGCTACTGTTTTCCAAGTCATTTTAATTTTAGTATAAAATATGTTAAGAAGAAGATAAATGAGCTGTGAGATCTCCTCTGTCTTCATCAGCTGTTTTGGCTAATTAGGGTTCACATGTGTACAGTGAAATGACTTTGATTAATTCCACTCTGATGTGAGTACTATCAAGGAGCAAAGATTTTTAACAGAAAAAAAAAGGATATGAACTAGATAACTGTGCTGAAAGGATGTGCACAAACGAGTCACTTACGGTTTCCAGAACTGAAATCACTTTGAATTCTAGTTAAAGAAAAATAATTCCTACTGTAGAGCCAAAAGATAGGCGAGGGCATCACACTCACCATGACTGTAGTTCTGGAGCACAGTGCAATGTGTCATTGATTAATATTCCTTCCTCATTCAACATCCTCCAAAGCAGCAAGCAATTGGGGTAAACATACCACAAGGTACAGTGAATGAGTCAGCACTAAAAAAGGAAATAGCATCTTGTTCTAAAAATGGCTTCAACCCACTCCTGTCTTCCTAGTGCAGTTAAGAGCGAGCGTCATCGGTTACAGCAGAGGCACTGCTAAGCATGTGGATAATAATGTCAGCTGTGTACTCCACAGAATGAAAGAAAAGCACAGTTGGCCTCTTGTAAAAAGAAAAAGAAAAAAGCAGCAGTTTCAACAAGGCTCTTTGCTGGTTTAAGTTAAGGCTACATGGAGAAAACCTTTGAGGACAAGTTAATGGATAAATAGGCCTTAAGCCCTCAGTTCCATTTTCTCAGGAACTCTGCTGGTGGCGGTACAGATTCCCACAAATTAAACCACTGCCCTTGTGAGGCACACGACTGCTTTGTACTCTGCCTCTGGTTTGCAAGGAGGCATTTGAACTCAATGCACTTTTCTCAGCACTTCATCTTTGTGAAACTTGATTGTATGTTCTTGCTTG